ACCTTGGGACAGGCCAGCAAGCCTTTGCATGGACCTCCAGGACGTGAGCAAGGCCTGGTCCTCAGGAGCAGGTTGCTGGAGACGCCATTGTTGCCTCAAGGTGCGATGAGATTGATGACTCGCAGCGTTCTTCTGGGTGTTTTCCGAGCCTTATGCCTCATCCCCGAGGTCCTGACGAGCCGGGAGCTCTGCCTTCCCGGTCACTTGTCATGTCACACGGTCCTGCTCTCCCTACCACCGTCACGGTATTTCATCCATGAACCCTTCGCGCTGGCACCTTTTCCTCCCAGGCGGCCGCCGGGAGAGGCCAGGTCACGCGGTCGTCACAGAGGGACGGTACGGACTACCCCAGCCACGCACCCCCCAAATGAGGCTGCGCCGAGGGGTTTCCTCCAGGGGACTCCAGGGTGGGAGCTGAGCTCACATTACTGAGGCCCAGGAAAAGTCTCCCCACTGCTGTCAGGGAGCTGAACCCGGGTATGAACACGGGCGCCACTGTCCTCTCCCAGACGAACTGGAGCAACACCTGGACGATGACCGGGACACCAACCCAGGTTGAATTTTTAACTAGAGCACGTGACGTGGGGCTTGGGGCCTGCAGACCCGGAATGCCCTCCAATTAACTGAGGTTCTCGGAGTGGGAAGTGGGTCTGTTCTCACCACTATGTCCCCAGAAGGGTCCCAGCCATCTTGGTGGCCAACCTGAGCATATGATACCAGCCTCATCCCGTGGTTACGGTAGTGTGACTTCGAGTCTCTGTATGGGCAGCTCCACAGCAGGGACTCACGCCCTGAGCAGCTCACGTCGTCCAGGACAATCAGCCCAGAGCCCTGACCGAACCCCACACCTTCAGGGATGACATGATCCAACTACAGCCCAAATGCCTGCACACCACATTGGTGTCGCTGCTGTCCCACTCGTTGTCACACACAGTGTCCCCTCGGTACAAGACTTCCACCCACCGTGACACCAGTCACCTCTGTTCGCCAGATTCAGGAACAAAGGTGATTCCATCCCGACATCTAGAGGGGGCGCGAGGACACCTCCTGCCTGTCTGTCCTAGACTCACAGACCGGAGGCCTGTCCCGGACCCAGAGCCCTGCCTCACGGCCACGATGCTCTGGCCAGGAAGCCGGCCATGGCCATGCCCACAGGTCAATCATCATCTCAGGGAAAGGAGCTCGCACGACCCTGCTGTACAGGTCTGAGGATTCTGAAGGGCCGGGAAGCACCCCATGACCCTGGGGGAGGTGAGCAGGACAGCCCCCCACCACACGGGTACAGTCAGGGTGCAGCCCACAGCTCTAGCCAGGCCGACTCCGTCCCCACTAGTGCAGCTTGGCGGCTCCCGCTTCATCCTGGTGGGCTCTGGCTGAGCTCCAGGAGGGGACAGGGATGTGGCCAGACAGCTACTCTACAGACACATTCACGCCCTGTTCCCTGCCAGGTGCGCTGGCCTGAGACAGGAACGAGGTCCCAGCTGGACGTGCCTGGTTGCGGGTCTGGTCCCGATCAGAGGACGGGGATCCCTGCTGAGCCCATGCCCAGGGGCCCGTCACAGGGAGGTACTCAGTCCTCTATGTGCGATGCACACCTGTCTTCTGAGACGCTTCCTCTGACCCTAGCCCAGGGCCCTCGAAAAGGAAGGACAACCCCAGATCGCCATGCCCACATGCTCAAACCCTGCCTGTTCTCAGATGCTGAGAGAGCCCCTGGGAGGTGAGTCAAATTACCCACCTGTTATCTCTGGTGGTGTCGTGTCATTTGTTAATGTGGTGACCCAGGATTCTGCAAGTAGCATGAGAGACAAAGCCAGTGTTAGGCATCAGTGAAAGAGTCCTCGAGGAAAACGTTGGCGGACACTGTGACGATCCCACATGTGCACCTGCCGCTCGCGACCTGTGTGTCATGCTCAAGGCCCCACTCAGCGAGGGCGTCTGGGAGGCAGGCCCTGAGTGACGGCCACCTGCTCCCTGCTCACCTTGACGCCTGGCACGTTGACGTCGCTGTTAGAAAACCTGTTCTGCCTCCTTCGCTGGGCCTCGCGGCCCCTGGCATGTCTGAGAGATTTGCCCAGACTCTGCGGCTTGGACAGAAGGCGTCAGGGGCCATGGTGGTGGGACCTGCAGCCCATCACGTGGCGAGGGGACCTGGATCACTGTTGCCAGCCATCCCCCTAGGCACGGTCTCCATTACTCGGGTGGCTTATATGACCATGCAGAATCTCAAAGGCTGGCAAAGATTGAGGGAGGCACAGTATTTTTCTAGTTCAAGTCCAGGCTGGAGAAGGTGAGGACTTATGACATCCACCTTCCCACAAAATTCGAGTCAGCGCTGACTCTGACCGGGCCCCGTTCCTCACACAAGGCTGCTTCTCTGGCTTGGAGCCCCTCTGTCCTGGGACGGTGTCGCTATACGCTGTAAGTCAGCCGAATGGATGGATGGGGGCCTCCTGACGCCCACGTCTAGATCACGAGATCTGCTGGGAGACTATGTGGCTGAGTGACAGGATCACGTGCCCAGTGTGAGCTTCCAGGAGCAGTGCGAACTCTGCGGTTCACCTAACGGCCACGAGTGCGGCACCTCACGAGGAAGGACGCCGGGCACTCACTGAGCAAAACGCGGACGGTGACCAGCTACGGGGAGACAGGGAGAGTCCGCCTTGGAGGACACCAGTGTCCGATCCAGAACTCGTTGAAAGACAGTCGGCCCTTACACACCGAGCTGAGCCCTCTCACGGGCCCTGTGCGAACTCACAGCCGGTGCTGCCCCGTATCTCTCAGTCCCCTGTCCACTGACATTGCCTGCCTGGCCGTGCCCTACGGCTGACTTTCCAGACTATGAAGGCCAGTGTCCACTTGGGACAGGCCAGCAAGCCTTTGCATGGACCTCCAGGACGTGAGCAAGGCCTGGTCCTCAGGAGCAGGTTGCTGGAGACGCCGATTGTTGCCTCAAGGTGCAATGAGATTGATGACTCGCAGCGTTCTTCTGGGTGTCCCCCGAGCCTTACGCCTCATCCCCGAGGTCCTGACGAGCCAGGAGCTCTGCCTTCCCGGTCACTTGTCATGTCACACGGTACTGCTCTCCCTACCACCGTCACGGTATTTCATCCATGAACCCTTCGCGCTGGCACCTTTTCCTCCCAGGCGGCCGCCGGGAGAGGCCAGGTCACGCGGTCGTCACAGAGGGACGGTGCGGACCACCCCAGCCATGCACCCCCCAAATGAGGCTGCGCCGAGGGGGTTCCCCAGAGGACTCGAGGGTGGAAGCTGAGCTCACATTACTGAGGCCCAGCA